CATCGCACCCAGGAATATTGGGAAGCCATTGTTACATAACTCACGTTCAAAATATGGACGGCAACCTTCGCTTGCGGCCATGGTGCTGCCGCGGGAAGGCTTTGGAAGCATTTCGCAGTCTCGCCTTAGTTGGAATTGGAGGTCTCTGCCCCTCCAAGCTGGTTTCCCTATCTGGTTAAACAGCCTTCCTCTCTCCCTCCCTGCCCCCTTCCCCTTCTCCCACCTCTGCCCCTTCCATCCTTCTGTTCTTTCTTATGCTTAGACTGATATTCTGTCTCCTGGTCATTGAAGAGATAAATTATTTTCTTCTTAAGTTTTCCTGGTGGTCTCATAAGGGCTTCAAACTGCTCTCCAATGTGCCTGCACAGAGGACTTTCTTTTTTAATATTTACTTTCATGTTTTAGTTATTTCTGTGTATGTGTGTGCATGTGAGTACAGTTGCCCACAGAGATCAGAAGCATCATAGCCCCTGGAGCTACCCAATGTGCTTCCTGAGAACTTAACTCAGGACCTCTGCAAGAGGAGTAGGTAGTCATAACCACTGAACCATTCCTCCAGCTTCCTCACCCACAGTGGTCTTTTGGTCTCCTTCTTCAAACCCTGGCAAAGGTCCCAGCTTGGCTTTCTTTCTACATATACCCATATTAGAGGGTTCGATGTCTACCTTGGAACTCATGGCCCCAAGTATGCCCATTCCTCTCTCAATACCCCAGATGTGCATGCAAATACAAGAGAAACAAGTAGCGGGAAGCACATGGGGTGAAGGGGAGAGAGAAGGTTTGCCAAGAATGGCAGACACATGCCCACAGCGGCTGCCACGGCAGGCAGGATTGGCAGTAGGGCCGGTGTGAGCAGGAGTCCAGGTCAGGGAGGAGAACAGTCTGAGAGGTGGGGTTTGTTCAAGGGCTTGAAGACCAGTTTTAAGAGGGCAGACTGACGTAGCTTCTCTGTCCTTCAAGGTCTTATCACTGACAATCAATAATTGTCAGTAAAGGGCCGACCAAAAAGCAAACCAGCTCATTCAAGCTGGACCATATTGGGAAACGATGTTGTGGATTGATGAGAGTAACTAGAAACTGGTGAAGCAGAGCAGCCGTACCTGGGTGTGAGCATCCTTTGTTCTTGCTGTTACTTTTCACACTTAAAAACAAAGTGAGACAGAAATCCTACCCCGACCAAGGCGGTTTTACAGGGCACGACTCAGTTGTTTGGAATTGATTCACAGGCTGTGAAACCATCAGCCCTATCTACTACCAGATCATTTTCATTGCTCAAAAGAAAGCCCACAGAGATCAGAAGCATCATAGCCCCTGGAGCTACCCAATGAGCTTCCTGAGTGACTGGGCAGTAGGATGCATTTGTCAAAACCCAGTCCACAGCCCAGAGAGCGAACCCTCCTGTGAACTGGCTAATAATAACACACAACATAATGAATATTCCCCATATGTCCAAGATGGGAGCCTTCTCTGCCTTGTGATGATAGAGTTCTTAGCCAGCTCCAAGCTGTTCTAGTTTAAATAAACAAACAAGAAACTGTCTATGCACATTGGCAGTCCTCTCCTCAACCCCTTCCCTCCTCCCCTGTAACCATCCATTTACTTCCCCTCTCTCACGTGGGCCCTGTTTAGAAGCATGGATGTAGTTTGTTTTGGGAGTTACCCTTAGGAGAGTGCAGAATGTTCATACATTTGAAATCACAGCTGTATAATTTGTCTGCTTCTTCTGTAAACACCAGTGAACTATAAGTTAAGATGGTGTAGGTAGCGACAAAAAACGTTGATGGTTAAAAAGAATAAAAAATACTTTCGGCTGTGCAAAATCCAAAGCACCAGCCCTGTAAACTCCACCACAGGCCGGGCAGCCAGGACTTGGACAATGGAGGGCAGATCCCTGGGCAGCATTTGAAGAAGGGGCTGAGATAAGATTCAGGCTAGAGCCGGGCGGTGGTGGCACACGCCTTTAATCCCAGCACTTGGGAGGCAGAGCCAGGCGGATCTCTGTGAGTTCGAGGCCAGCCTGGGCTACCAAGTGAGTCCCAGGAAAGGCGCAAAGCTACACAGAGAAACCCTGTCTCGAAAAACCAAAAAAAAAAAAAAAAAAGATTCAGGCTAGAGCCTGGAACACGGACTGGGGTGGTGGTGGTGGTGTAGAGACACAGGGCGGTATGTGTGTGTGTGTCCCAGGGCAACATACATTGTTTCTGATCTGCAGTAGTTGAGATTGCAGAGAAAGTTAGGGGGAAGAGCTCTGTGGGAGGGGCTTACAACCTACTTCAGCAGCATTGGTGGCATCACCACAGGAAGGGAAATTTGACCAGCTCACTATAAAGCACCAGCTCGGGGCTGGGATTTATTTATTTATTTTTAATTTAGAAAACTAAACAAAAACCTTTTTGTACAACAGATATTGATCATGTTCTTCCCATCTTCCAACTCCTCCCAAATACTCTTCACCTCTCTACCCACCAAACTTCATGTTCGCTATCTCAAACAAACAGACCCCTAAAATGAAAATCAAAACAAACAACCCCCCCCAATAAGACAAAACATGCTAAACCAAATCAAAATGAAACAAAAATGCTACCCCCCCCCCCCCAAAAAAAAAAAACCAGCCCACAGAGTTAGTTTTGTGTTGGTCAACTACTCCTGGGCATGAGGCCTGCCCTGGAATGTGGTTGATGTACCAGTGACATCCTATTAGAGAAAACTGATTCTCTCTTTTCCAGGAGTATTGATTGCAAATGGCATCTTGGCTAGGGGTGAGACTGTGTTCCCTTTCCCTTCTCAGTGCTGGGACCCTTTAACCCATGCAGCTCCTATGCATACTTCCACAGTCTCTGGAAATTCTTACGTCATCAATTCTGTAGTATCTGGAAGACACAATTGCCAAGGCTATTGATTGCCCTCCACAAGTTGATGGTAAGGCTCTATTGCTGAATGTATATCTTAGTGAGGTTTTCTATAGCTTTGATGAAACACCGTGACCAAAAAGCAAGTTGGAGACGAAAGGGTTTATTCTGCTTACACTTCTACATCTCTCTTTATCATCAGAGGGAGTCAGGAAAGGAACTCAAACAGGGCAGGAACCTGGAGGCAGGAACTGATGCAGAGGCCATGGAGGGGAGCTGCTTACTGGCTTGCTCCTCATGTCTTTCTTAGCCTGATTTCTTATAGAACCCAGGACCACCAGCGCAGGGATGTCACCACCTACAATGGGCTGGGCCCTCCCCCATCAATCACCAATAAAGAAAATGTCCTACAGGCTTGCCTACAGCTGGATCTTATAGAGACATTTTCTCAATTGAATTTCCCCCCTCTCTGATGACTCTAGCCTGTGTCAAACTGACATAAAATTAGCCAGTACAATACATTTACTTATGTTATTGAACATCGAGAAGTAGAGCTGGTGCTCTGCTAGAGGCTTTATCCCTACTGACTAGCATTCATGGTGCTGGAAGGTACTACACCTGCTACTGGAGAAAATGGTAATCATGAATAACACCCATCTACAAATCCTGCAACATACAACACTGACCTGTCTGCAAGGTTTACTTGTGTAATAGTGGCACAAATGTCAGGAGAGTAACCAACCACTTTCTGATTGGATGTAAGGACAACTCCATGAGATGAAACCCGTACCTGATACTGCTGAAGTAGCCAAGAACCTGAGATTACATAGATCATAGGCCTAGGGGAAAACCTATACTGTTATTCTGATAAAGGAACATAGCAATAAAATGATTTCTTATGACATACTGATCTGGGGGTTTTGAGAGGCTATAGAGGATGAAGGGGAGGACCCTTCAAAAGCCCTTGTGTTGTTCCTTTATAGGCACACACTTCCAAAAAACAACTGATTTGTTTTCTGCTACTTTTCAATTGTATCACATAAAGGAAATTATAGTGTATGAAAATTTTACAAATATTTCATTTTAAATGTGTGTGCATTTGTGCACATTGCGGGTGACCCCAGAGGCCAGAAGAGGGAGGTGTATTCACTGGAACTGGAGTTACAGGCAGTTTAGAGCAGCTTGGCATGGGTGCTGGGAAGAGAATCAGATTCTCTGGAAGAACAGTGAAGGATCTTAACCACTGGGTTGGCTCTCAAGCCCTCTAGAATGTAGCCTTTTGAGGTGGACTTTTTAACTTTGCTTGGTACTTTTGAGAGGCAGTCCAATTCCTGACTTTCTCAAGAATTGTTCCTTTTTACTGATGAGTAGTATTCCGTCAGGAAAATGTACCAGAATTTGACTGTCTACTCACTTACTAGAGGATATTTGCATTGTTTCCAGTTTGGGGTGATTATATATAAAGTTCAGATGGGATAAATAATTTTACTCCTGATAAATCATTTCTTTCTTTTGTCTTCTATCCAACAAGAAATTAGATTACACTCATCAAAAAGGAATTCCGATTATGACTTACCTCCAAGATGGCAATTATGTTTCCTTTCCATGATAAATATAATTTGTCTGTCACACAGGGGCTTAAGCCACTGATGGCGCTTGCTAAGGCTGCAGAAGCGGCAATAGCAGCAATTAGATGCAATTATAGTCATAGCACTTCCCAGAATGGAGCCCGGATATAGAAGAGGTTAGGTATCAGAATCAGCGGGTCCAGCGGCGTAGACTCCCGTTCTCTACTCCTGTATCACACCCTGCATAAAGAAAACTTCTGGAACCATTTCTATGTTAGCTTTCACTTTTTATCTTCATCGGCAAATTGGTACAATGTTCTTTTTGTTCTTATATAAAAGTATGCAGTGCAGTAGGGCTGTGGGCTGAGTGCCACTCAGGGGTGTTAAGATGCTCTCTGTATTACCGCCAAGGTGCAAAGACATTTCTGGCTGGATCAGGCATGATATTATATTTTGAAATATGATTTACATCGTGCTGGTAGATTTTGTAAGTTTATACATCTCGTAGGTAAGTACTGTGTTGTTACATTTTTATTCTTGAAAAATAAACCCATAAACCTTTTGTGTTTCTTTTTCTTTTCAGTATTACTTCACTGTTCTTTTTGGGCACGAAGGCCAGAAACCTCTGGAGCTGCGCTGTGAGGAGGAGCAGGCCGGGAAAGAGTGGATGGAAGCCATCCACCAAGCCAGGTGCGGGTCATGTCTCGTTTTGGATGGGGCTCATCATGGCTGCCAGTACTTTTGGAAGATTTTGTCATAGTAAGATGGTATCACGTTGGTCCCTTCCTGTGCCATGTGTGAGGTGGTTGTTTGCACTTTGCGTGGCTGTGTTTCAGTTAAAGACATAAACAGTAACAATTACCGGTAGTAGACATGGATTTCTTCCTACACACTATGTACTTACTAAGTGCGTCTCAATGAGGGAATTTATTAAATGTATGACCACCCCTCCCTACCATCTGCTACATGGGGATTTACACTTACTTCCTCTTCTGCATGTAAGGAAAGAGAGCCTTGGAAGGTTAGTTCATTTGCTTAAGGTCACACAGCTGGGGGTGGCAGAGCCAGGAAGTCACCCAGTGGAGCCCACTTTTGCAACACCTGGCCCCCCGTCTCCCGCCCCACACAGTCCCATTATTGAGTGGCAGTAATAAACTCAAACTGGGTCAAACAGGAAAATGTGGTTTATTGTCCCCTAAGTAGTACCAGGACTATAAAACCCTCCTCTATGCCTATTAAATAGGAATGAGAAATCTGAAAAGGGTGTGTGTGTGCATGTGTGTGTGTGTGTGTGTGTGTGTGTGTGTGTGTGTGTGTGTGTGTGAGAGAGAGAGAGAGAGAGAGACAGACAGACAGACAGACAGACAGACAGACAGACAACCTTTCTGTTTTCTCAATTCAAGTCCAGCTCCTTTGCTCCTATGTGTGCTTGTTGTTTTTGCCCATCTTCCCAGCCAGGGATGCTATCTTGTTACAGTTTGTATTTCTGTGATAAACACCATGACCAAAATGACTTGGGGAGGAAAGGGTTATGTATTTCGTCTCATAGTTCAAGTCCATCATCCAGGAAAGTCAGAGCAGGAACTCCAGGCAGGAACTTGGAGGCAGGAGCTGATGCAGAAGCCATGAAGGGCACTGCTTACTGACTTGCTCTCTGTGGCTTGCTCAGCCTGCTTACTCACCATGCCTAGGGTTGCCAATGCTGAAGCAGCACTGTCCACAGTGACTTGGGCCCTCACATATCAATCATCAATGAAGGAAACGCATTGCAGACTTTACCTACGGGCCAAGCTCATGGGGGCATTTTCTCAGCTGAGGTCTCCTCTTTCCACATGACTCTACCTTGTGACAAGTTGACATAAAACTAGCCAGCACAGGTGCCATCCTTTCACCTCCATTCAGCTCCTTTTCTCATCTTTCTGATATTTCAAGGAAAGACTCAGCCATGGAGCATTTTCTTTCTGTGCATCTGACAATGCCACTTTCAATCCCACATCAATCCGTACTCCAAATTGCTGCTACACCTGCATTGTGTACTGCATGCAGATACGTAGCCATGTAAGTTATTTTCTGTGTGATTTCTACTTCCTGAGCAGGCTTGTGTGTACCTTGAGACTCAAGAGAAGGAAGGATGTTAAATGAAATGCATTTGCTAATTGTGCAACAGGCAACCAGGAACAACTTCCAGGTTGGTTAATAGAAAAAAGAAAGTACCAGTCCCCAATGATTTCTCTCTTCTCTTTGAATCCTAGACATGTTCATTCTGAAAACCTCCTTGGCCTCCCTACTTTTTAAGGACAACTCTGTGATGCTAAGCACTTGGCACATCTATCTTTTATATTATTTGTAGCAGCTCAAGCAGGTATCACCAGCCCCATTTGACAAATGAGCAAACAGAAATTCAAACAGATTGGGCAAGATCTACCACCAGGTTGTTAAGCTGCAGAACCACACGGGTCTGCCAGACTTCACAAGGTTTAACCAGGGCTCCGTATTGCCCTTCTCTTCCTTACCTTCTTTCTCTGTTCATTTTTTTTCTATTTCTTTTTCTCTTTCTTTCTTCTAAGAAGAAAGCAGAATAATGTGAGGCTAGGGTTGAACGTAAAAGGTACCAATTGCAAAATATTTCACTTTTTCTCTCTCTTCTTCTAAGTAGTTATCTGAGATGCAGTTGGCAACAAACGCCGGTTCCCAGGGGCAGCTCTGTGAGGTGAGGGACAGGCACACTGCTCAGCGCTCTGGTGCCCACTGCCTGTACCTCAGAGTTGGGGCTGATGCAGAATGACTTAATAAGGTCAGGGCTTCCAAGACGAAAGACGCACGAAGGTGGCAAGGGAGAGTCCTGGGGCCATTCGCAGTCACAACCTTTGTAGCTGCGTCTGTTCTCTTCTACCTGAGCATTAGAATGAAGGATGTGATTTCAAACGTGTGTATTTGACCATACTTCACATCCTAGAAGAGCAAGAACCACTGAATGCCTCAAATGGCTTTACCGTTGAGAAGGGAAGATTTTGGTGACCTGGATGCAGTGTGAATTACTTTAAAGATGTACGGATTTCAGAAGAGAGAGGTTTTGTTTGTTTCACTATGTCATGATAAGATTGTGTCATCTGTGTGGGTGTAAGCAGTAATTGCTTGTCCTTGAGATATGGTGAAATCTAAGGCAGTCTTGAGAAACCACTTAAGTGGTCTAGACAGCAGAATGGTAAATAACCTTGTTTTTCCTCTTAGATTTGAAGGTCTGCTTAGTGGTCTTTTTTTCCTTGATGCTTTGGTTTTTTATTTTTTTTCTGTTATGCTTGCTTTACTTTGATTTAATACCTGGGACTTAGTCCTTTGATGACTCCTTTGAATTGGACTGCTTTAGACTTGTGTCCTTTTTGAATTGAAATAATTCTGAAATATTTACTTTCTAAATCAAGGAGTAATAACATGGACTCTCCAAAATTTGCCCTGACTTTGTTCGTCTATAAACAATGCCATAAAGTTAATGAAGCTGCTCCCCACAGAGACCATTAGCCATTTTTTTCCTTGACATTGTGCATGAAACACAACTAATGAGCTGGGCTTGGTTGGCTAAACACTTGACTTTTAAGGGGCAATCTGGTGACATTAATCTGGCATTGCTAGCTTCCAATGGAAAACTTTAAATTGGTCAATAGTTAAATCTTTATTGATTCCTCTTTTCAAAAGTCAGAGATTTTGGTTAATCAGTAACTATTTTAGCACAAGGCTTATTCTTTTCTGTTATAAATCCTCCAACAGACACTACACAAGACTACTGTTTCTCCATCTCCTGCTTTCTAGAATGGCTTCTCCATGAAGCCTGGTAGCCCTGTCTTTATGCACCATGGAAGACATGCTATTGTGTTGGCTCTTGTGTCAGGGGGGCCTCTGTACCACAGTTTGCTTTAGAAGCTCTTTGGATCATTTTCTGAGATGTCCAATTGCATATTTCTTCCTATAGGTCGGATCCAGAAAATAATATCATCAGAATTGGCATTTTCAATCTGAAACTTTGACTCAGACCAGCAACATTGGTGTTAGAGTTTTGCACACAATTGCTCAACATGATAAATCTAGAGCAGACACATTTCAGATTTCATTCCACACATGTTATGGCATGTGGGAAGCTGCTACCAAAACTCAGCTCTCTTATTGTTTGTGTAAGTTGAAGCCTGAGCATTTAATAACACTTAAGTCTATGGTTATTTTATACAGGATTTGCCACTTGGGCAGGAACTTAAGCAGCACCAATAACTGGTATTCTTTCTCCACTTTTCATAGGCATATATATCAGACTCAGTTGAAGTAGTTGAGTACTTAAAAACATTCAGAAACACTGACCTAGGTAATTGTGGATCCTGAAGACTTCTTGGCTCACATGACATCCATTCAGTGTTCTATCTGCTGGGATATTGAGTCTGCAGGACCTCAGGAGTAAGATGTCCTTCGTCTGGAAGAGGACATGGTGCCTTCGTTCTGAGTTCATTTCATCCTGGCTTCAGCATGGGATCCACAGAATCTGGAATACAGCAATCAGGAACTGAGGGATAAGGCAGTTCAGAGGTGTATGGCAATCTACCAGAGGACTTTGTGGCCATCTGAAGGTGAACAATATTAGGTCAAGATGGCATCTAAGTCAGCTTTTGCCCTCTAGCTTAGATGGTACCACCCACTAGAAGAAGAAATGGCGAGTTAGTGCAAGCTTGTGAAGCAAATGTTGATTTTTGGTCAGGAAGGGGAATTGGAAAGGTGAGGTGGGTTAATCCATAAGGAAAGTGGATTAGGAGGTCACAGGATGGTCCTGTGACCTTCCTGCTCTGTGGCATGTAAGACATGAGAGAATGAGTAGTCAGGGAAAATTAGAGGAGTAAGGCCTGTCCTGAGAAGAGATTTGGGTTTGGGTTGAGGTCAGGAGACAGTTGGTGAGACCTGGAGGTGTTGAGACTATAATTTTTGCTGTAGTGCTGATCTGTGGCTTATGTGTTTGATGTTGGAGACCATTCCACTGCCTTTGGCTGGTTTTGCAATTTCTTCAAACGAAGATCTGCTCAAATCCACATTCCAGTTCTCTTTCCTCTTCTCCATGTGTGTCTGATGTGGGGATCTCAGGCTTGCCTTGAGGAGAGAGTGTTGAATGGGGAAAGGAATTGGCAGATGCGTCCATTCCTGGACGCTAGCAGACGGAGCATGGCAAGGCCTTGACCTGACCCTTTCTTTGACCTTGTCATTGCTAGCATAAGTAAGAGGTCTTTCAATTGAGCCTTATCCTATTTTTTCAGGGGCAAGAAAGCTTTATTCCACTCCTGAGTTTGTTCTTTGTAACCTTTTGATGACACGTGGCATCATACTTGCTCCTCTTTGGCATCTACCCCAGGACACACCAAGTGGCTAAGGCCACCCTTTCTCTGCTTGCTCCAGGCCATGGTCCATGCACTTCTTTTGGTTTAACCACCATGGCATACATGGTGCTGTCTCCATTGCCTCAGTCTTAGATGAGAAGCCCTTGGGAAGGCCACCAACCTAGCACATGGCAGAACTAGATTTAAGGACAGGTCGGAGCAAGATGCAGTGCCTCAGTTATATGTAGAAATTCACAAATGTGCATTATTCTACATTGAATTAGCATCTCCTGGGTGCTCAGTGCTGCCATGAATTTGACTGGTGGATTGTCACAGGTCTCTACT